TCCACCAATCATGGTTTCCGCAGCATTCATCCTGTGGGGTGTAACTGAAGGTGAGCCCATTGAATATGGTTTAAAGAAGCTTTACAAAGAGACAGATTTTATTGTTTTTCTTGTGCAGTGACTCTGTAATTTGAGGTATTTGTAATTTATACTGTGGTGATTCACTTTTAAGGTGCATAAGTTTCCTTCATAAATTAACTGGTTATTTATAGTCTGATATGTATTTCCTAAAAGATGATTTTATTGACACTGTGAATCTGTGTAGGATCCTGCAGGTTTGATTTTATTCACTCAAAATGAGAATCTGCTTTTCTAGATTCCCTGCAAGAACAGGGAGATCATTAAACACACTGTGATGAAATAAAGATGTATTTACAACAGCAGAGGCAGCGCCCCCTGGTGACCAATTATAGAATTTTAGATGTTAGCGGTCAGTAATGAAGTGACAGGTAACATGAAATCCAACGTAAAGTTCAGCAGAGTAGAAGGAAGGAAGTTATGAGAAGCTAAGAAATTTAAACAGGAAAAACGGGGATCCTAGTGCTGCAGTCAGAACTGGGGAACAATTATACGGCTGCCAACATAAATACTGTAAGAGGAGAGGATTCCTTTGGGGGTGTGACTCAGTGGGTTAGGATGTTTCACCTGCGTTTGGAGGGTCACATGTTCAAATCTCAGACTCGACAGAGTGATTTTACACATGAGCCTCTCAGCAACGAACTGAACCCCCAACTGCTCCCACTATTTTCTGACCCTGGTTGGTTCTGCTAAATAAGTAAAACTTACTGTTAACTGTTTCCCAGGATCCACAGAAGAGGCTGTTACTTGTCCTGCCATCAGTCTGCTGTATATCCTGCTGTTGTTTCTTTTGGCTCCATATCGGAAGTTATTTCCAGGTATATTTACATATTTCCATGTTTCTTATCCTGTTTCCTACACTTCATATTAAAGGAAGTTGTCACTGTTTGTGGGAAAAACTGTAAAATAAAGACAGATGTTTATAGTTAGTTTGACTGCAACAGTGATCATTGTCAGCATTGTGTCAGAGCGGTTTGGAGAGGAGAAGCTGAGAGCTTCCAAAGGATCATATGTAAAGAACCAAAGAGCAGTGAAGATCCATAGTATCAGGCAGGAGATGGAAACCCTCAGGTCCCAAAACAAACAGGCAAAAGAAGAGGAGACCAGTGGCTTGGCTCAGCTGATGTACATCCTACACAAGAAGATCAGGGTCCTCAGCCGGGCAGAGTGGCATCGGAGACCTGAAAGCACTGCATTCATCACCAAGTCCTTCAGGTTTATGAAGGAACTGTTAGTGCAGAAGCATAACAGAAAGCTGGAATGTTCACAGGAGGAGATAGATCAGTATCTGCAGTAGATGTATAGCGACCCAGTAATAGATCAGGACTTGGGAGAGTGCAGCACACTGATACAGCCGGCCGAGGCAGCTGTGCAGTTTGACATGTCGGACCTGCAGCTGAAAGAGGTTCCTGAGATGGTCAGGAGAGGATGAGCAAGCTCAGCTCCAGGCCTGAGTGGAAACCATGCAGAGTGAACAAGAATTGGCCTAAACTCTTCCTGCGCCTGTGGAAGCTCCTCTGAGTCATCTAGAGAAGGACCAGTATTCCCAGTGGAGAGTTGCTGAAGGGTTTTGAATCCCAAAGGAGGAAAACTCAAGGCAAATAGACCAGTTCCACCTCATCTCTCTGTTGAGGGTTGAAGCAAAGATCATCTTCAGTGCTGTTTGTAACTAGCTGTGCACCTTTCTTGTGAAGTTCAGTTACACTGATACATCAGTCCAGAAAGCAGGTATGTCAGGAATGGCCGGATGGCTGGAACACATGGGCGTGGTGACTAGTGATGCGCGGATCGTAGATATATGGGGGCGGGGCGGGCGGGGGGGGGGGACTATTTTAAGCTTCATTTTACATCAGGTACGAATTAGCAGACTAGACTCTCATTGCGGGTCCATTTGTCTTAAGCAGCAATAGAGCCAAAAAAAGATCAAATAAAGTGAAAATCAAATAAGGAGAATAACAAAACAAATAAAAAAGATGGGCAGAAAAGTTATGTGTGGGAGTGATTTAGTGAAATAGTTACCATGATGAGTCAATGCTGGGAATGTCATATGTAACATGGTATTAGTATTCTTAATGGTATGTATTTGGGAAGATACAGCGACATGCAGAATTATAGTCTGACGGGAGTAAAGATGTCAGTCTGTGTTCAGGCAGGTGTGGAAATACCTGTTGCCATTTTTATTTTACCAAAAAAGAACTTTTACTTTAAATTAATGTTTATTTACTTAAAACCAGTCTAATTTTGTGTAACATGTTAAAAGATCATCACACTTACATGTATCCCACTGAGAAATACTGGTAATGTGTGATCGGGTGCCAGTCTCTGAATCAGAGAAAATACTTCATTCAGGTGGGTGGCAGGTGGATGATTTATATGTACATGCAGATTCGGATGGAGTCAGAGCCGATCTGCACATCACTAATGGTGACTCAGCTGATCAGGGAGGCTGGGAGAACAAAGGCAATCTGTCAGTCCTGTGACTCAACCTGGAAAATGCTTATGGCTCAATTCCACACAAGCTGGTGCAGCTGCCTTTGATGGAACATCATGTCCCCAGTAGTCAGAGATCTCATTGCGGATTACAGAGAGTCTCCTCAGGAGCTGTTATATCAGGCTGGAATAAGGCTGAGATCAGGATCATCACAGGCTGCATTATCTCTGTGATCCTGGTCTCTGGTACCATGAACATGCTCAGGAAATCTACGGAACCAGAGTACAGAGGGTCTAAGACAGAAACTGCCCAACGCCAGCCACCCATCAGAGGACTTATGGATGACATAACAGTCACCACAGAGTCAGTCCCAGGATGTCACTGGATCCTTCAGGGGCCTGAAAAGCTGATGGGGTGCAGATGGAGGTCAAGCTGCCAAATCTAGGTCCATGGTGCTGAGGAGAAGGAAGGTGGATGACGGTTCAGTATCGGAGATGCTAACATCCCAACCATCGCAGGGAAGCCTGTTAGGAGACAAAATGTATGGCAGCATCATGAAGGACACAACAGTCATCAAGTCGGCCTGCACTGAGTTGGATGGCTGGCTGAGATCAGTGGACCGGACTGACCTACTGGGGTAATTTAAAGCAGGGCTGTACCAGCATGTCATTCCTCCAAGAGTCCTGTGGCCACTCCTAGTTTACCAAGTGCGAATCTCGACAGTGGAAACCTTGGAGCAGAAAGTCAGCAGCCACCTCCGGAGCCTGAGCAGCACGGCTCTCTATGGTCATCAAAACAACCTGTGACTGTCACTCAAGTCCTTGGAGGAGGAGTTCAAGGTTACAAGAGCTGGGAACGTGTCGCTGTACAGAGGGTCAAGCGATCTGAAGGTGGCCAGAGCTGGGATAATGGTGAGGACTGGCAGGAAGTGGAGGGTGGAGGAAGCTGTTTAAGGCTGTGTCACAAGATAATGGTACACTGTAAAACCTGACTAGTTAGTTCAACTCAAACTGTTTGAGAAAACCGATTGCCTTAAATCATTAAAGTTTATGAATTCAAATAATTAAAGTAAAAATATTTTTTGTATTGAGTGAAAGTAACTCAAGTATTTATAATTTAAGCAACTTAGTTACAGTTTTTCTCGATTGCTTAAACACATTTCTTGAAACTATGCCTCATATTCTCAAAACAGTAAACACAAATCCATAACGTCTCACCCAATTTCCCAGACATCGTATTTTCAGGTCAAAATGAAGCTCTACACTCAAAACCAGTCACTGTTGTTGAAAAACCAAACTTTGCGTACAGACATCACACACAAGGCCTCAAAACACACACACTACAACATAGTCTTACACAT